GGGACATCTCACTAACGCGCACCACGAAGAACCTTCTCACCATGTGAAAGTCACACAAGTAAATCGTGTTGGATACATTGGACAAAAATTAATTATGAGACACAGCCGATGCAGGACTGATTGGTTAGAGGTTGTATAATAAGTTCCATCACGAAAAGTTGCTTCCGATCCAAGACACCAATATAATAAAATCAGGTCGAATCTTGTACCCAAAAAGTGTTGGACAATACTTGACTACTCGTTCCTAGTTACAAAAGCAACAACAAAAGCAACAACAAAAGCAACAATAACAACACCACCATAATGGACCAACAAATCGACACCAAACCACTTCAAGATGAACACGGTAGACTGATTGGATACACTTGTGAGGGTGCTACAACAAATGCCGCTGAAATCAACGAGGTGGCAACTTCCTTTTATTTTGGTCTGCAATATCCCATTGGGCAACAAAAGGCTGCCGTCGAATACATTAATCAAGCCTTGTTGGAACATGTCGCTACAGACTATCATTTGATATCGGGAACCGCCTGCAATGTTCTTGGTGACATCAGTAGTAGTGGCAGCAGCAGCAGCAGCAGCAGTAGTAGTAGTACGACAACCACAATATCATCTCAACAACAAGACCAACCATCGTCTTCCTTGTTGGTATCCATCCAAAGCGATATAAACCGGGTCGAACTCGGTCAATCCTGCAGGGACGAAAGCTCTTTCTTTGATCCCAGTCTACAAGACTGTCAAACGTCACAATTGATATTGAAAGGCTTGGTATGGAATGCCTCCACAATGCCCGATGTTATTTCCACTGTGGAAAATTGGTTGCAACAAGAAGGCACAGACGAAGAATCATTATCATTCACAAACAATAACAATCCTTATTATTCCATTCATTATTTGGGTGGCCAAGAGTTGGAAGATCAAATGGTCATTAGTACGGGATCCGGTCGACCCAACTATCCAGCCTACCAAAATGAAGGTGTGGAGAATGACGCGGCACCCAACCAAAATTACGTCACGGGACTGTCCAAAATGTCACCACTCGGCAAAGGCATGGTATGCTTGTTGGTCTTGGCCTTTTTGGGATTAGTTTTGGCCTTTGTTCGCAAACAAAAGCTTCAAAAGATTCGGGACGAGGAACGCAAAAGACAGCTGGCAGCAAATTCCAACAAGGAGAATGAAATGCCGGTACCTGAACTAGATGGCATATCATCGTCCTCATCACCTTCCAGCAAGGGTGACGTTTCGAGCAAGGGCGAGTTGTCCCTGACGGGAAGTATGTCGGCCGGGTCCGCATGAGACTGCGACTGCGACTGGCTAGTAGCTAGTAAGACTACTCCGCTGTACAATATCATAATACTACAATTGTATAAAATAACTAATAATAATGTGATTTATAATAATTCAACTCAATGAATGAATTACTGAATCATTGACGACTATTGAAAGCCCTCTTCGTCGTCGTCGTCGTCGTCGTCTTCAAATTCCGCGTCAATCACGGATGGCGTATCCACCAACTGGTCTTCTGGAGCACCATCGGAGTTTACCAGATTCAGAGTATCTTCAAACAATCGTCGCATTTTCTCCACCTCCACGTCGTCGAGATTCGCATCTCCCCAATCAATTTCGCCCTCCTCATCTCTGGGGAGCACCATATCTTCCTTATCCAAGACAATGTCCGAAAAGTCAAATCCCAATTCGGCGGCCAATTGTTCCATCTTGTCAGCTTCTTCTTCCTGCAAAATAGAAACCACTCTTCCTCCACTTCCACGAACGCTACCCTTTTGACCGACGCGACCAACACGGCCTGCCAAATGGACATATTCGCGAGGATCGTCCATGGGTAAGTACAGCGTGTAAACATGGGTCACATCGGGGAAATCCAATCCACGGACGGAATTAGGAGTGGCCAACAACACGGAGGTTTCGTTGCTCTTGAATTGTTCCATCATTTGCAGTGGATTGAAGCCAGTCTTGGGTAAGAGGACGCACAGTTTGTGTTCTCCCCACAAGGCGTCGCGCAATGGTGCAATGGATGCTTTCGCAATGACTTCGTCGGGAAAGAAAATAACCACTCGAGGACGTTCCGAGTTCTTCCCAGTGTCATAATCTCGCAACTCTTTACGAATTAATCGAGTGAGTGCCAAGAGACCGTTCTTGCCTTCCACACGGACGCGCTGGTGAATTAGTCCTGGATTCAAACAAAGGTTCAAGTCTTGGAGTGACGCCGTCTTGGGTTCTTTGCCAGATCCTTCGGATGAGGCTTTTGTTTCGGCTTCTAGATCGGCAGAGTCCAATAGTGGTCGATGCTTCAAGGCAGTGGCAATGAAGCTCTTTCCCTCTGGCAGAATGCGATTTCTCACGGCAAGACTTCCAAGCGATTCGGTGACACTGGCACCAACCATGAATGTCAATCTCGTGTATTCTCGCTCTTCTAGATTGTCATCAAAAAGAGACTTCAAAGCGTCTGCTGCTGTATTTTCCAATGCCAAATCAGCTTCGTCATACACCACGACCCGAAGCTTGGATGGAACCAAATCTCCGTCCCCAATCAGCTTGTCCAGATACTCTGGCATGGTAACAGCCACATCGGTTTGTAGTTTCAAACCAAATTCAGCCTCTTGTTCATCCAAAACACATCCAATGCGAACCCCTTTGGGTCCCTTGTATTTGAACATGTTGGCCTTGCCTTTCATTTCGGCAGCATCCTTTTTTATGTTCCCTCCAATCAATTCATACAGAATCATTGCCGTTTGCACTCCAAGCTCTTTGGTGGGAACGACAACCAAGGCTAGTGGGCTCTTTACATCTTTACCAGACTTTCCCAAAGTTGCGAGTGATGCTCCTGTAGCAATGGCGCCTCCCCGGACTGGTTTACGACTGCTGGTACGGACGACTGGAGATGTCACCACGGATATACGTTCCAGCATGTCACCAGTGGTATCACCAACATTCTCTTCAGCTCCCACTCGGATTCGTTGTCTAGTAAATAGAGAATCACTCAGAGTCGAGAGCAATGGAATCAGGTACGCCAATGTCTTGCCCGATCCGGTGCTTCCACTAATGACAATCCCAAGATCCTTGTCGTTCATGCCAATTCGCTCTTCTAGCGATGAGGACTCCACCATTTCGTCCGTGGAATTTAGAATCTCATTGACAGATTCCATAGCGTTGATTTGGATGGTGGTTGGAAAGGTAAAATTCAACGAATCGAGACGATCCACCAACCAAGGAGCAGCTCCCAAACCCTTCCATGACATGCGCCTTCGTTTGGATTTTTTGTCTTCATCTGATGTTGGCATGTTATCACTGTATAGTCGATCAAAAAGTTGATTGGAAAGAGAACCAGCCTCGATGTAATCTTCTTTTCGCACGGCGTCTCGAAGCAGAGTCTGAAGTTCGTTCAATCCCATCAACCCACCTTCGGCACTATCATCGCCAGACATGGAAAGAACTGAAGGAGCATATTGTCTAGGTTGCTGATTCACTATATGATGTTGTTGTTGCTGCAAGGGTGATGGAGTAAATGTAGAACATAGTGCAAGACAAGCGGCAAAACCGATGGCCCGAGTCGTTGTTGCCGTCATGGTGAAATCAATATTAATTGTTGTGTTCTCGTCGAATAAGATCGGATTCGAAGCAAAAACTTGACTTTTGGTTCCACGTGGAAGAGGACCCTTGCACGACTGGAGTTCGATCAATC